TGTTGCACTTAGTAGGATAGCCGCGTGATCTTACCAATAAACTGCGGTTGTGTACTGATATTGCACTTGCTCTTATTTTTGTTGAGTACATGGCATCTTTCTGCGGCTATTGACAAACCTCGCTTAGAAGATCAGTGATCGCCAATCGAATTCAAGGGTGAGCCAGTTCTTCCGGGCTGCCTTGAATTCTCTTTCTGTTTACGTCCACATTTAGAAAAGAGAGTTTCAAGTTTTTCAACATGTCAGTTTTTGGGTATTAAATAAAAGTTTGAGGGTATTAAAGTCTTTACAAAGTTTTATTAAATAATGTTGCTTAGTAGAGTTATCTTTTATGCTTTATTAATTGGACTCCGTCAAGAGCTCTAAAAAAAGCCCATCCTTTTATCATTTAATTACAAAGCATGCCCCTATAATTCCATGGAAGCTGAAGATATGATGGGTCACATTAGTCTTTATAGAGTATTTTTAAATTTGTTTGGTGAATAGAAGCACACTATTTTTATGTATTGGCATAAGTTAAATATTATTTTGTGTGTTAATTTTATTTATACATTATTAAAAGATAGATTTTATTTTAACTTGTTATTATTAAAATGCAAAGTGAGGACAATATTTTCTTTTATATTTTATTTTTAATAATAATTACTTATTTTTTAAAATTATTTTTCAACACCTAATATTAAATATTAATTAATAGGAGTATTTTGTGAAAAAAATAGTCATGTTAATCATTATTTTCTTATTCTTAATAGATAAATGTGACAAATAAAATTGAACAAGAGAATATTTACTTCAAAGTTATATTGAAAAAATAATTTGTGGAAATAAATAAATAATGAGGAGAACTAGTAATACGATGAAAAGTTATTCTCCAATTTGTTGGGATTTTTTGTGAAATCAATTCATATCAATTAATTATAATTAATAACATATATAATTGATTTTTAATTTATATCTTATATTAAAATATTTTCTCTTACACTTGTTCATTTTAGCAAATTAAGTAAGAAAATATTTTCGTATAATATATCTTTTTTATTAAATAGTTATATGAAATACTAATGGTCAATTTTATTAATATTTTATAATTTATTTTTATAAAATACAAATCTATCTAACCTATAGTTTTGATTAAAGATACCTAATAATTGATCTGGTTCAATTCAATGTGGTCAATATTTTAGTTTCTGAAATTTGACTATTTGAAAAACATCTTTCGCAAATGCATACTATACTCCTAAATAATTAGGAATTTAGATTTATTTAGAACATTAGTAATATATATTAGAGAAAATTGTATGAAATAGTAAACTGTTAATTTAAATTAAATGTTATAGTCATAGTTTATTTTAATTGTAATTTGCAGCAAACATTTCATTTTTTTGTCATCTGATTCGGTATACAATTAGCCATTTTCGGTATACAATTAACCATTTATACATTTTGGTATAAAATGTATAAAATGTGTTTGTGTTTGTGTTTGTATAAAGCGAGAGAAAAGTGTATATACAAATACAAATACAAATACATATATTTTCGTCCTATACACTTATAGTTATACAAATACAGATCTTATTATACAAATTACAATGTATAAATGAATCTATACAAAACTGAACAATTTGTATAAAATTGGATGTTTCTAGAGAATTATACAAATCAAAAGCTCCATAGCAAACATAAAATTTGTTATGGAGCACAATTATGCAAACTATATCTATAACATACAAATATGATTTTTATGTTTGCTATATGTAAAAGTTGCTTATATATTAATGTTGGACCCGTGTTGCACGGGCCATTTTTTCTAGTGACAACATGAAATACTAGTCAAATTAAAAATAATATTATTCATAAATTGTTCAGACCTTTTTCATCTATATCATTCTAAATATATTCTCTGAATGATTGAATTTTGATTTAACTATACAAATCTATTTTGTGATTTGCTCGTGGAGTTCTGTATCATAGCCATGGCTTCTTTTGCACCAATTTTCAACTTTGGCAATATCACTTCTCCAATACATCAAGGGCCTAAAATATCCCTCAACTATTTGAATTGGTATAAATTATCTTTTGTCTATTTTTTGATCCTCAAATATCTCTGATGTCAAACTTTTGACTCAAAAATACATTTATTTCTAACGGCTTATACTCATAAGGTGGATGTAGAGCAATATTGTACAAAATCACATAATTTAAGGACATTTTAGGCCCTTCTTCATTGAAATAATTTGAATTTTTTTTCTTTTTTGGTTTTCCACCCGGCGTCCAGAGCCCACATTGGAACCTCGACTAAATTTGGATCATGCACTGCAGGATTCATTCGGGGGTGGCGCTCCCAAGATGATTTTCTCCATACCTAGGGCTTGAACCTGAGACCTCTGATTAAGGGTGAAACACTTCCACTAGTGCACCACAACCCATGTTGATTTTGAAATTACTTACTATATATGCTCATATGATTGACCTGATTTTGTGTCTCATAGTAAATTAAAAATGAAAAAATGATTGGTCCTCTACTCTCTGCAATCACCCTTTCCCCCTCCCCCTCAGTACTTCCTCTCTCTTCCACTTTTTTCTTGTTGGATTTTTTCCATCATTTTTTTTTTCAACTTATGAAAAAATAAGGGAGAAAAAAGAGAAAAATAACAACGAAATTTATATAAAAATTATAATTAGTTCAATAAATAATGATTTCATTAAGCAACTATGTATATATACTAGCTACATTTTTCTTTTGTGTGTACCCAAAATTCAAAAGAAAAGAATGAAAATAATCCTTTCTTCTATCCCCACCCTACCCCACCATGATAATAATACAAATAAAAAGAATATAAACATGCAAGTTCATTTCAAATTTGAGTCTCAGATATCCTAATTAAGAATGAGATTAAAAAAAGAATAAAAAAGAGGAAATAAACAAGACAATTGGATAACTAACAGAAAATTTTATATTAATAAAAAAATAATTATCATTTTTTTATATGGACAATCAGACGGGACAAGTATGAATTTTATTTAGATCCTTATTCCCTAGTCATGAGTTGAGTTATAATAAATCACAGGTTTATTTAAAATAGGCCAATAGAAAGATTTCATTAAATTAATAATTTATAAGATATTATTTTGAAGCGTTTTTCGATCAAAATATGAATTATATTTGCTTTTTGTTATCTATTTGAGAATGATCTAAATTTGGACCAATCAGATTAGACAACATAGTAAATAAATATTTAATGATTTTTCTTTAAAAGAAATGTTAAAAAATAATAGCAACTATGAGCCAAAGGATTACTATCGAGAGTATTTTTGAGCCAAAAGTTTGACGTCGGAGATTTTGGAGGCCAAAAGATGGATTGATGATAGTTTTGTACTAATTCAAATAATTGAGGGGTATTTTAAACCTCCTCCATTAATAAAATTATGCATAATACATAAACATGACTCTTAAATTGACTTCAACGGATAACTATGGCCTCCAACTTTGAGTGTGCACAAGTAGACACTTAAACCTGACACATGTATGTATGTTAGTATAAAGGGTATATATGCTCTAGTTTTTGGACGACAGACACTAATGTCCCAAAAGTATGACGGAGGATATCTGCATATCATTTACGATAGTTCGAGGGTATATTTGTCCTTTTTCCCTTAAAAAAATGATTTTAGGATTATAAATTGCTACTACACCCACACCATTGGAAAATGAGATCTGTGACGGCATACATCATCCTTTGAAATATGTCATAATTTGCATACAAATTTGAATCAATAAATATAGAGAAAACACGGAAAAAAATAATTCTAAACTTGGCAGCACAACTTATTTTAGCACTTAAATTACACGGACGTTTAAATACCCCTTAACATCTTTGAAGTGAATTAAATACAATCCTGAGAAGAGAATAACGCTCTCACCTGCCACATCATAGCCATGTAAGCACCACGTCACAACCATGTAAGCACCATGTCATTAATTTTCAATCTTTTTTTTTGCTTATTCACTTTTTTTCTTAAGCACTTTTTAAAATTCATTACACTAATCAATTAATTAAAAATTCATTTTAAATCAAAATTGCCCCACCTTCTTCCACCCCTTCTCTTCTACCCCCCCCCCCCCCCTTTCTTCTTTCTTGATTTTAACCATTTTCAGCCTTCATTGGCTTCTTCTTTTTCTCGATCATTTTTAGTCTTCAATAGTTGTTTTCTTCTTCAACATTCATTAAAAAAAAAATTAAAAAAATAGCATACTTACTCTTTCTTCTTCGAACCCTCCCCTCCCAAAAATCTGCCCCTCGGAGAGTGATACTTTTTGAAAGTTATTTTTTTTAACAACTCAAATGAAAAATGAATGTTGTATAAGAGAGTTGATAGACCCATATTTTTTGCATCACAACTAATTGAAATCATAATGGGTCACTTAAAATTCAAGAAAGTCTACCTTCAATAATATAAATTAGGTGTTGGGTTTTGTGGATTAATGAAGGGCTGGTGAGGTGAGGGATGAAAATGAAGGTAACGTTACTAAGATGGAAGAAGAAAGGTATAAGCAGTGTTTCAATGGGGAAGAAGACATTTAAGGGAAGATAACAAAATAAAGAGAGAACAAAAAGATTAAATATTTTGTTTTAAAAAAAATCTAACCCACAAATTTCATTTACTTCTAAATAAGAAATTTCACGTTTTTTAAAAAAAATTAACTTTTAATTTTTTTTTATAAACTATTAGTTATATATTGGCCAATAAAAAATGTCATATGCATGATTTTACCATTCAGTTTTTTGTATTATTATTATTATCATTTCACACGCTTTTAGGAGAGTGAGTACACTCACTTTGCCACGTCAGCTCTTCGGGTGGTATTTAATCACTTCAAAATTGTTAAGGATATATTTAAAAGCCCGTATAATTAAAGTACTAAAGTAAATTTTGTTGCAAAGTTCAACGGAATTTGATATATAGGGGCCAAATTATAAGCAGGACTACATACTTTGAGGTGCAAATGCGAAAACTACAAAAAGAGCTTTGGCAAATGATAATACAAAGCAAAAAATTCTAGGAACATTATTGATTGACATTGATCCATTATTTGTAAAGATGGTGAGGAAGTCTAGGCACCATGATAAAATGGAGAGGAAGTTTGGGGTGTGTAGTAAGTCCATAAATCTCATCCATGCTAATGTCTTGTGGATTTATGCCATGTGGCAATTGCCAATTGAACCCGTGCAACAAGTTGGCTAACGTGGCCCTAATGATACGAATCCCAAGACTATATCCCGGGCACTTTCTCCGACCCGAACCAAATGGTAAGAGCATAAAATGTTGTCCCGTAACATCTATATCATTCCCTTCGAATCTCTCTGGTATAAATTCTTCTGGTGACTCCCAATACCGCGAGTTCCGTCCAATACTCCAAGTGTTCACCATTAAAATCGTCCCTTTTGGTATGTCGTAGCCTGCTATATGACAATCCTCTAGGGAAGTACGGGGCGGAAGCATGGTGCTTAATGGGTGAAGCCTTAAAGTTTCCTTGATAATTGATTCAATGTAAGTGAGTTGAGTGAAATCTTTCTCTTGCACCCATCTCCCATCTCCAATGACACGGTCTAGCTCTTTTTGTGCTTTCTTAATCATTTTTGGTTGTTTAATAAGTTCATGAAAAGCCCATTCAATTGTTGTTGCTGAAGTGTCTGTGCCACCAGCTAATAAATCCTGACATAATTTGTTGGAAAATTAAGCAATGCGCTGTATAATGCACACAATCTAATGTACCCAAATTCTACAATCATTAGTTGAGTTTAAAAAATTCACCCCTATTAAAAAATAATTTCAAAAAAAAAAAAAAAATCAATCCCCAAAATTTCAAAAATTTACTTTGATTCATATTTTTGTTGTTGATTTTGACCTTAGATCTTTGTTCACTAGTGTTTTTTTAGTCTATGTTCAAAATTTCAAATGATTTGAAGTTGTAGAAAAAATTCAACCATTAAAGAATGTTGAAATTTTGAAACTTTGAAAATATTTCAAGTGGATCTTGTTGAGTTGGGTTAAATTTGAGCTAAAAAAATATTCAGTTTTGATATTTAGCTTGGAGGAAAACTACTCTTGAAATTTCAAGTGACTTCGTGAAGAATTGAAGAAGTTTGAAATTTGAGAATTGTTAATGTTCTGATGTGTTGTTGGTGTTCTCAAGGAATAGGAAGCAAAAACACTACATTGATCCAAAAATTTCAATTGAAAAGTGTTAAAAGTTGTTTGGGGTAAAAATGGTTTTGCAAAACCTGTGTTAAAAAATAATGGCATGAGTGAGCCTTTTTTTTAACAGCAATGACATATATAGATAATTCAAACTTTTAACGAATGACATAAATGAGCAAAGTTCGATGACATATTTGAGCATTTTCCCTAAATTGAATAACTACTCCTTTAACATACTCAGTGTAATCCTACAAATAAAGTTTGGAAAAAGTAGGATGTAGACGAGTCTTATGAAGTAAGAATGTAAATTTTTCAATCAAACACTAAAACAATGGCTTGGGCCCCATCTTTTTCTTTTTTTTTAATTATGTGAATTCAAGCATATTCTCATAAATTAAGATTTTATTTTCATAAATTAGAGATAAAACAAATAAAGGAAAAGATAAAGAAACCTGCATTAGACCCTTGACAGAATCAGTGTTGAGTTTGAGATGAAGATTAGGATCATCAACTTGTTGCAACAAAACATCCACCATATCCCTTGCCACAAAATTCTTATCTCCTAATTCCCTATTGGCCTTGTGATCATCCAACACAAAATTATTAAATTTATCCAAATTCCTATGCAACTCTTTCATTTCCTTAACATAACCTTGCAAATCCAAAAACCCTAACCAAGGTATCCAATCTCCAATATTAATCACACCATTAAGTAAAAACCACTTATCAAGCATATCCTGCAATTTCTCCAAACTTATTATAGAATTTTCATTACAATTACCATTTGAGTCGCTAAAATATTTTTCACCCAACACTGTTCTACTTATACTCGTTAGAGTGTAACGTGTTAAATGTTGTCTAAGAAGAATTGGGTTCCCTAACATGGAGAGATGAAAAAGTCGCGAAATAAAATTCTGCCTTTCCTCTACTCGAATGTACTCAAACGAATCTAGACGTTTAGAGTTGAAAATGTGGTTGAGGTAGATGCGTCGTGCTTGTTTCCAAAATGGACCATAAGGCGCCCATGTCATGTCATGATAATTATAAGCAGTGTACTTACCAGCAGCAAGTTGAGGGCGAGACGCCCAATTTGCATCATTTGTTTTTAAAAATTCTCTTGTCATTTCTGGAGAGGATACTATTAGCACATTTCGAGTACCAAACTTTAGAAGCATTAAATCTCCATAAGTTATCGCGAGTTTGTGAAGGGATTTGTGAGGAACGGAACCAACAAGATGTAGATTGCCAATTATAGGCCATGGTTTTGGACCTGGTGGAAGATTTTGTTTATCATCATGGAAGAGTTTTAACAGAACAAGACATGTTATAATGGCTAAAACTACCCAACAATAATTCTCCATCTTAATTTACATGTGTTGGAAAATATTGAAAATTCTTGTAGCTTGAGAAACTATGTTTAAAGATATTTCATCTATGTGACCCAGAATTCAATAATCTATTTTACTATGGAATTATGAGTCAGAATCTAACAAAGATTTTGAATTGATAGAAAATTTTGCACAATGAAGGAGTACTGTATTTTCTCTATTCAATTGTCTCATTGATCACAAAGAAAGAACATAGGAATATATAAATAGACAGAGTAGAAGTTTTGGCTTTGATCTTTCTATCTTCAAGAAAAGAACTTGGGAGTTTATATAGATGAAAAAAATCATCTAATGAATTGGATGAATGTATAAAATACTCAAAAATATAGAAAACAGCCAAATACCCCCTCAACCTATTACTCGATTCTCAACTACACATTTATACTTGGGGGTCCTATTACCCCCTAGAGTATTTTAAACATAAATATTGACACCCTTAAAATGTCACCCCCAAATCTTTGTTGCTGAGTGTAATACACACACTTATTTTTTCAGAATAATTTTTTTTAAAAAAAATTCATTACCAAAATTCATCAATTTTGATGTTTTTCATTTTTTCTCCACCATTCCATTCATCTTCCTAAATCATCCCATTTTTTTTTCCATTGTTCCCAAATGTCTAATCTCCTCCAATCCACCTCCATCACCATCACACCCGTCATCCTTCGTCTTTCTTCTATCTTTTCGATCATTTATTTACACAAAATCTAGTAGTCATTGTTGAATTCAATAAATTTGACATGAATATTGAATCTTTTTATTATGGTATCTTAATGACATTATTGTCTAGTACTTTTGCATTTGTTGATTTTCCCGTTGCTTTTTTTGATAGATTTGAAGATGAAATTTTCCTTGCCAAATTTCAAATTTTAATACCCACTTTCAATTCCAATCAAGAAACTTGTACTGCTACTATAATCGAAAAGATTTCTATAGCAGAAGCTGTAATATCATATTTTAATGTCGGATTAAAAATATTTTTCATTGAGGTGAAGAAATTAAAGGATTATCATTAACTTTCTTTTGATTATGTTGTCTATCTTTAGGAAAGATTTGAAAGGGTTGGTCATGAAAATTTTTATTGTGGATTAAAAGTGGAAAAAAAATGAAAAAATAAAATATTGTATAGGTGCTTGCCATGGCAGCCATGTTAAAATTTAATTGCATAGGTCTAACTTTTAAAGGAGGGAAATAGTTAGAGAGAGAATGTGATTGTAATTAATTACATTTATTTATTAATTATATTGAATTCAATTAAAAAATGATAGTTGTCAAATTATTTAATTTTGGCTTATTTATTTGCTTTACACTAGCCTTCAGGAAAGTGAATACACTTGTTGTGCCACATTAAGGGTGTCAATATCTCTGTTTAAAATACTTCAAGGATGTAATAAGATTTTCGTAAAGTATTGATGTGTAGTTGAGAATTGAGTAATAGATTGAGGGGGTATTTGGTTGTTTTCTCCTCAAAAATATAAATCATCTCTTAATGTCAATAAATGAAAATAATAATATATCTATCTATACATATTAGGAGAAGAAAAAGCGCCTACGTGTTAGCACTACAAAAATTATTTTTTAAAATAATTAAAATAAAATTAGAATAATTAAAAATAAATAAATTACTTTAAAATAATTTTATAAATTAATTTTAATTTATAAATTATAACATTTAAAAATATTCATACAACACACTGTACAAATATCGAATCAAACTATTTATGTTGAATTTTTAAAAATCTATCACAGAAGAAATGAAGAAGAAGTCAATGACGGCTATAATTTTGATGGATAAGGATCAGTGGAGCAGCAATAATTGCATGACGGCATGAGCTGGAAGATAAGAGAGGGTAATAGGAGGGCTTCGACTATTAAAAATTGTAATTTTATCAATTTTTCTTATTTATTATGCATTTATTTAATAATTTAATTTCAGAAATAAAATAGTATATGTAAAATCTACATATTATTTTCTTAATTTAAATTAAGACAAGATAAATAAAGAGATTAGTTAAATTTGATGTATATCTTTTGAATATGATAAATAAATAATATAATAAAATATGAATTTTGAATATGATTTATATCTATATTGATTATGGTTGGAAAATATATAACTCTAATAGTTAGATCGATAGATGTTGTCAACAATAAACTTTTTTTAAAAATGAATTGCAAATAAAAGATAATCATGTATTTAATCAATTATGATGAAATGAATTAAAAATTCAAATACATATGGATTTAACTGTGTAACTTTATATTGATAGAAGTTGTTAATTACTTTTTGAGTTTTTTCTATTAAAATAATTAACATATTCTTTTGATAAATTTAAATTAAGAATATAAGTTATAAAATTTTATTCAATAGCATATTAAACACACTTTATGTGAAATCGTAAAATATAACATAAAAAAATATAGGCAGGTTGTCATCATTATTGTCCCTTTCGTAAGCAAAATATAAATAATTTCCAAGAGATTATTAGATATTTGGTTGAAATTGAGATGAATACTTGCCACTTATTCTTTTATTTTTTTAAAACTAATTCTTGCCACTTATTCAAACATTGATAGAGGCTTAAAATATCTTTTATCGATCAAGTAATAGCACATGATTGTATTTTCTATGACTCTAATAAGATATTGTCTTTATGATATAATTTTTAATTGAAAGTGGATATATTAATCTTTTTTCCTAAAATACTATCTCAAGTGATATCATATATAGGAACACTTTTTGAAAATTTATAGTGGTAAGTCTATGATTTAAAATTTATAAACATTGATACTAATATTAAGACAAGTAATGTTAGATGAGAGAATATTGAAGGAAACGAACAAGAGTTATAAAAATTACATATTTTGAAAGAAGAAAAATTCAATATAGAATTCATGCTATTCTCTATAGCCCTGTTGTTTTCGTTTGATAAGTAATTATGTATTTATCAACAACCTCGGAATCTTATTAAGGATATGACATATTCTTAAAAAGTGTTTTTTATTTTTCATGTTGTAAACACATTATTTTTATTTTTTATATATATCTAATGTATGTTATTTGTTTTTATTGAAAAAAAAAAATATATATATATATATATATTCAGATATTGTAACTGGGATCATTTAACTACTTTCTATTTTGTAAAAATAAATTACAGTTTTATGTAACATTTTTTTGTTTCTCTTGTTTACTGTGTATAGTTTGTTCAGTTATTTATAGTGCATAAATAAAATATAAGTTATCAAAATTCTTTATTGAATAATCACTTATATATAAAATCAAGCAATTGCTTCACTGTGTGTATTTAATTAATTTAAATAAATATAAAATGCATTTATTAATTATGTAATAAATTTTGTTTTAATGTTTCTACTAATATTAAATAATGGGAAAAAGATCTGAAATATATTCGAACTTTGACCGAAATTGTTGTAACAATATCAAACTTTGGAAATGACCTTTTACCCTCATGCACTATTTATAGTGTATTTTAAAGGTATATATGTGTCCACGTGGACATCATAAATATTGTATGATTATAAATAATAACGTGTCTACATGGGCACATATATACCTTTAAAATATACTATTAAATAGTGCAGGGGTAAAAGGTCTTCTATAAAGTTTGGTATCGTAACAATAATTTCAGCCAAAGTCGGAGTATTTTTCAGACTCTTTTCCCTTAAATAATTATTAGTTGTTGTAAGTTAATTAAATTGTCCATTAATAGTTTAACTAGAATTAAATTCAATAAAAAATATTTTTGACATTTGTGGTTTTGAATTATACATATGTAAAATATTTAAATTTGTTTTTATTCTTATAGTATTAAACATTTTATATGGAAAGTTAGAATTTGATTTTTTTCTTTTGTTTTATTAGAAAATATAATTAGACTGGTTTAAGAGTCGCCACTTAATTTTTAAGAAAAATCAAGAAAACTATTCATTTCCACAAGACTGAAATAGGAATCTAGTGAAAACTTGTAAAGGGGTTCGAGGCTCTTATTAACATTCTAGGAAGATTTTAAAAGCACCTAGAAGATCCACTAGTGTGGTTATCCGACAATTAATTATTTGGCTAAAGTAGTTTAACTTAGCTTAAATTGAACAATTGTTTAGTTAAGACCATTTTAGGGGAAAAAGGAAAAAATATTGAACTATTATCTAAGTGAAGTATTTTTGTAAAATTATTATTTAAGTTCGTTTAAAGATGACTGATTTAGTTGAATCGTGAAAAAAAAAAGACATGCGTCATTTGGGGGGTTTGAATTTTTCAACCTTAAGATTAACGGCAAACAGTGACAAGCAAATAAACATAGTAAGACAAAGGGGGAAAGAGATTTGGGCCAAAATCTGGTTTTCTTGTCCGCCTAGGCCAGTATTTGGGTTTGGGCCCATTTTCGTTTTGGGCCTTCGGCTCATTTGAGTCATTTGTACCTGTCCTAATTTAGCATAATAAAAGTATTTTCTATCTTTTGGACCTTAGACCTAATTCTTCCACCTGTCCTAAACTAACACAACAATAGCAATTAAAATGACAAGGGTTTAGGTGCAAAATAACAAAACACAACTATTATGAATTAAAAGTGGGTCTTTGGCCCAATCTTTTCAATTTTCTCAATCGGTTGCTCCTTTCAACTTTGGGACCTGTTCGTCGACTTTTACAGCTGGTTGGTTGACTCGATAAAGATGGTTTGAGCCTTTATGGCTCTCTTGAAATGCGAGAAAGAAAATAGGAGTCCAAGAAGACTCGGATAATATCACATGCGACAAAAACAAGTAAACTTATGAGTAACAACCCACATGACTTAATATAAGAAACTAAAGGAGAGAAATAATCACTACCGCCTAATCATCACAGTGAGAACAAAATAAAAAATAAAAAAATTAATTAGGATTAGAATTCGACAAGCTCTAATGTTGTATAGTATATATTGATTGTTGATAGGAATATATATTATTATATTATAAAATGAAATTGAAGGACATA